TACGAGGAACCCTTCGAATAATTTACTAATGGAGGTGAGAGGTGATACGGTAGATGCAGTCGACAAATTTAAATGTATTGTTTTTATCATCTTAAGCAATGGCATTCTCAAATCGTGCTCAAATAAAATGATCGCCCTTAGCTTCAGTGCCTAATATTTATTATTTTCTTTGAGAAAGGAGTAAAAATTTTTGCAAAAATCCTCTACCTTGCTCGATTAAGTCTGTGTTGCTGCAATGCATGAAGACCGTCATTTTGACGGTGAAGAACATATAGAAGCCGTTGGTTTCAACGTGCATTCAGTGATTCCATTCTGTTCCGGGTACAAGCCTTCTCAACATGCGTCAAGGTTAATTAAAGGAAATTAAACGAGCTGTCACTTTTGTGACTGAAAGAAGTTCAAGAGACCAGCGTACAACATGGATGAATAATATAATTGTTTTACATTTAGAAAGTGTTTAAAATTGCCTTTCCGGTCTAATTGTCTCCTCTTATTACTGCGTTAAAGTCATCACGTTATTGTATCTTGATGAAAATGTTATCTGAGGCTTTGTTGATCTATTATGGAGCCGTTGGCATTGTTTGAGATCTTGCTATCGTTTATGGTCAGAGCTTACGCATTAATAAGAAGTTATAGGTTATGGGAAATCAGAGTTATTAGACGAACTGAATTATTGAGTGAGTGACAAGCAAGTTTCTGATTGTTCATCGTGAACGCATCTACTAATTCACAGACGTTCTGTTCCAAAAGAACATGAGACTAAAATGACCACATCTTTCGTCTCAAGGGATCCAATGGCGGGCGTATTGGTATTTTAGCTACACGGTTAATACTGTATTTATTTCATTTCATTAAGAAATTAATGAGTTAGTACGGTATTATGAAACAGGAATAAATTGAAAGTTTACCTCAGTTTTTCTACTTGCATCAAGGATCGTGGCCAGCAGCAAAATGGCCCGATGCAATAAAGTGCGCTGGTTGACGGCAGACTGGTTTTGGTAAAATTCGATAGCGTTGCGCAGTCGAATTTCTGCTCCTTTGAAAAGTAACTTTTGTGCTTAACACATGATGGAATCACTTACTCCTTACCATGAAAGAGTTTCGTTTTGCACTGAAGTTCTGCAAGCAAGATATTCATTCGAGCGCAAACTTCCGTCCCTTCGAGGCAGCTGAAGATGAATGAAATATATACGTACATAATATTTCACCGTCTGACGTAAAATAGTCAAATGAACGTGTACACGGTAGATTTCGATGGTGGATAAACGTAACATGGATTCACAGACCACTTTAAGGTTATAATGTGCTCTTGAATTAATCCACTTTAAGCATATCAGTCTTATGTGTACTTACGTAGTTAGCAAAAGAGATATTCCTCGCTGAGAAAAGTCTCGAAGTCCATTGAACAAATATTAATGATTGTATAAGAGGCCCCGGCGATGATGTACTCGAACCCCGGAGCACATGTTCAACGTGCCGAAGATTAGTTACCATTTGAGGACGACAACGTACTAGTGTGCGGTAACATTGTATTGTCATTTACAAGCAGTCACACAGCCGGAACACCAGATATATCCGCATATAACATTTGTCTGGCCTTGTTATAAATCTTACATAGATGTCAGAGCCGGTCAGCATGCACCCACCTGCGCAGAACTTTGCATGTCCATTTAAGATAATTCTGGAAAAGTATCTATGGATCGTTTGTGATTTCTCGACTTCTGGTAGGCGCGTTTTCCGGTGAATATGGGAATGGCCGTGTTGAAGGACGGACGACGTTCCGATGCTGTTCGTCATATGCTTGGATGAACCTTCTTGTTTTGCATTAGATATGAAAGTTGAACCAGCAAGAGCGACAACGTGAATCGCTGACGTGTTCAAAATGCATTGCTGCGAATGGCCATTGGGAATCTCTTAGATGGCTAGCTTGACGACAAAGAAAATCGTCTACTGGAGTTCATCTTTTGTGCCTCGAGAGAACTCATGGCGGTACGACGGGGATGCCAGTTCGACATCAGATCAATGAATCCGGCGATCGTACAACTGACGACCTTCAGAACAATATTAAAAATTACGGTAGCACAGAATCGATTTATCTTCGATCATATGCAGGTTTTTTACGAAGGTGACTAATGAACAGAATTCAAAAAACTGGACATCCAGAAGGAGCAAGCAAGATTCAGAAGCGCATATTGTACGACGGGTCATCTCCTGTTTAGGTACGATAAGAAATTCAGACAAATAGCGAAGCAACAACGAATATCTTCTTTGTCTGTGCCCACACTTCGCTGATTTCCAGAAGGCTTTCGACTCATTCAGTATCCGTTCAATGCTTGATTCCTTAATGAGCCGGGAGAATCGAGAAAAGATACATACACCTAATCGATCGCCATGATTTGCATACATTTCATTGCTGGTGTAACGCTTCCAATAAGCATGAATAAACTCGTAATCGAATGGGGCATCGAGTGGTAAATGCAATATTATGGAACTTATTTGGCATTTGTGCAAGAAGTTTTCATGACACTCCGTTGGGAAAATCAAGGCTGACCATAAATTCACAATATCTTTGCCTCCTATGGTCTGCAGACATTCTGATTTTTTCAACACCATTTCGAACATGAGCATGAAGTGTATTTACTCTGATTTTTGTGAAGGGACAGCGGCAAAAAATAAACATTTGGCTTTGCACATAAGAACTACCGGTTCGAACTCAATCCGCCGTGTAAAACTAACCGCTAATTTCATCGATCAAGAAATTAAGTCAACAGATGGAAACTGAAAGCAAATACTGAGGTACAAAACATTGGACAACTGGTGTTTTCGTGCGATAATGCTGGAGTTTAGGAGACTTATTTTCATGCTATGTGATAAAAAATATACGGATGTACTGCTCCCTCAAGTGCCTGATAGCAAATGTGATCAGCTTTATTTGCAACCGGAAATTTGAGATTTCTCCGAGGCCAAACCTAAGGTTCTGCTTTTGACAAACTTATTGATATATTTTTATCACAGTCGGTAAAAGAACGTAAATAACAAAAAGTTAAAATTAAAAACCCTGATTTTACTCTCTAAATATTTCTATTAATAACAAATGGCATGGAGTATTTATTCCTAATCACAATCGGTAAGAAATTTTCTTAACGGTTTATTCGCGATATAAAATGCCAGTTTATCCACACTGCTGCACAGCGGTGCAGGGGATCAATTAAACTGTGATATTTAATCCTGATTAAAGATAGTCGAGCAATCGCGGTTATTTTAAGCTTTTGATAGGATTGGTGATGTCTTATCCTTTTTTCTGTTCGAGAAGAATAGATAAAGTTTTAGTTTTCTCCAAACCATTTATTGCCAGCAGATACGTAAGAAATGAATTATTAATTTTGAAACTCCTCTCTGAGACATCTGAGTAAAATACTGATCATGGTACACCGTGGCGAAATACGTAGATCAACGAAAGATGTATTACTCCAATGGTCTATTGCATTTAACTTAAGTCAAGAATGGAAGGTTTATAATGGCGTGATCACACCAAAAGACCATGCTGTTCCTGCTATAACGAAAATATCAAGAGACTGTTTCATTTCTCAACAATCCGTCAGTTATAGTTACCGCTCATCCTTTTGGATAACGAAGGGAGACGTGTCGGACACTGTCTCAAACGTTCCCGATCCTGTGCTAACGTTTCAGCTGTTGCAGAAGAATGCCTAACTATGGAACAAATTCCTTCAAGGCACGTGGCCAAGGTTATCGTTGGTCTGGTCGGTTGGACAAGTGGGAATTTGAATTTCGCCATTATGGATATTTCTAATCCTATGTAGATCTGATTTTTGTAAGATTTCGAAGCCGGGCACACATTAAACTATAGAAAGTGCTGAGATCACTTACCGTCTCCATTTCCTTGAAAAAGAGCTTGTAGACATGAGCTCGGTATCGAAACGTGTGGTCAACTATCAAATTAATAATAGAAGGTACAGTAATCGGAAACGCCATTGTCGAATGCCTGGCACCTTTCAGTATTAGTACACCGATATGCCATGCTGCATCAGTTTCAGGCAGGCCCATGAGTTGCTATCATATTGTTGGCTATTTGCGCTGAAGTAATGTGCCAGAATTTCATTGATCAAGAAATTTGCGATTATGACAAATTTTGTTCTTTCTCAGGATTTGTGCTCGATACCTACGTAAATTCGAAGCCAACCTTCTTAACAGTCTGTTACCGTGCTTTACATAGCAAGAGTTTCCTGATTGATTTTGTAGTAATATTTGAGCAAGATAGTCCGATACCTTTAACTCAGTGTATACGCCTCAGTCTTCCTCTTAACAGTCAGTCAGTGTCTATTTGCTTATGGAACTAAATTTGCTACCAGGACAAAAAAAATGTACTCTAAACATACGATATTTTGGGAAGTTGACAATGCTGTCAGTGACGTGCTCACGAAGTCACGATTGCCTCATGAGAATAGCGCAGGAGGGATGTCATCAATGATCGCCATCATTGGCATAAGTTCCCTGCAGTTTCTGAAAAAAGAATCAGAATTTCCAGCACAATAGAATTATTGATTTGACGCATTTCTGTCAACCAATTAATGCTATGTACCAATCCGATGAAGTTGTCAGTAGAAGCTGCTGAGTCATGATGAATAACGCAACAACAACGATAACGATAGGAAACATGAATTCTCCTTTTGTGGCAGCAATTAAACACCAGCTAGTGTAAAAATCAGCGGCTGAGTCAGAGCAAAGTCACAAATGCGCAATCATATCCAAAATCTTTAGCATAATATTCTCGCCTTTTTCACTTATACACGGAAAATTTACATTTTGGTCCAGAAGTGGTTAAGCAAATGAGGTCAAGCTTGTTTTGTTCGCTGTGAGACTAAGGGTTATTTGTTTGATAAAGAAATGTTGCCATCGTTCACAGCGCTATAATTTGGCAATATTAAGATCCAAAATGAAGTTGAATGATCATGGCGCTGATCTTATTCAAATACTAAGATTTACTTTTCATGCATCAGGCATTCCGTTCGGTAAATCAGTTCCTGCACATCATCTAGACTGGTGTGAACAGTAGCTTTGATTCGAACTTTAATGATTTCTTCAAAAATAGTTAAAATCTGCGGAGATGACTTGGTGTAGAATTCGATCAGATCTTCTATGTTCTGTTCTAAGAGGGCAATGGCGTCTTCTGGCCTGTTCAGGGCTAATTTCAACCTACAAATGAACTTGAAATATAAAACTTGTTCATAAACGTGCAGCAGTTATACTTCGCTTGCCCTCGTCTTATTTCTATCGTCCAATTGGCGATTTCATCTAATGTAAATTGCTGACGATTCCGCTTCAGCATGTGACTGGCGATACTGAAGTATCGTTCAGCATCGAGGTATCGTTTGCTGAGCGTTGCACTGATTCCTAGCAAATAGTTGCACTCAAGGGCTGTTTCAGCCAGGTTCAGCTGCTCCTGTTTCTCTTCGACGTTGGCCGGGTTTGTGTATCGAAGCAGTTGCTCGGCAATATGTGCATGGTCACGCATTTGAACATATAATCCTGAAAATCGCGTCTTGTACTGTCGCTATTGCTGTAAAAAGGATTCTAAAGCACGTTTCATTTTCCAGTATACTCTTGCTAGTTTGCAGTGCCAGTATGCAATCGCCCAGGGTCTTTCATTGCCAAACGCTATTTTTGTTAATGTCATGCAACGGATGGCTTCGTAAATGCATTCGTCTGCCTAAACAAATCCATTAATAATGTCCTCACAACATTCAATTGCACTCCTCATTGCTGAGTAGGGAGCCGGCAGGAAACAATACGAGAGATAAAAGAAAATCTGTAGCCTTTTGTGTGTTGGTCTTCCTTAGAATTTCATGATTGTGGCTTTTTTTACATGGAGCTTATGATACAGTGCTGATCTCAATTTCTATGCTATCGGTCACGAATGCTTTACGATGAAGGCAATGTGCAATGTCTACAGCAATGTAACAGGTATGGCGTTGTGTAGCTTCGTGTTTCCTTTTCAACACTGTTGTACTCCTGTACTCACACAGTCGTACTCGGCCGGGTTCAAATCCAGCTACAGTGAATTCGACGACAAAACAGGTCAGACCAGGCTGAGTTTGTTGTTGTCATTGTCATCTGCGGTATCAGGGTCAATGAGATTAATGTCTTACAGTAAGTCAACAAGTTAATATCCATATCGTGAAATGTTCAAATGAGGGAGAAACTTGTTATTACAACCTACATTCATCTGCTTATGCTGTTGTTTTTCTCCTCATTATCATCAGGTGGCAACCATAACTTCAGTGCAGATATTAGACAACAAACCGAAGTGTAAGATATTATTATGGAAAGCAGAGGATAAATTACGATGGGCTGGGCAGATTTTTCAATTTGCTGACCATCGATAGACCGCTGTTTTCGTCGAGTGGTGCCCACTGCAAAATTCTACTGGGTCATCCTCCAAAAATAGGGGTAATCTAGTCTCTGACTTAAAAGGACCGCGTTGACAGAGGAAGGCGCGAACAAAAGAAAAACGAAGGATGTTCTGTGGCAGGGGTAATCTGTGTGAATGGTGAGTACTGA